AGAGATCAAAATATTTCTAATCTAATCTATGCGCAAGAGAGAGAGTTTACATAAAGCTATCGTATTATACTATCTTCACAGAGGAAGCTTATTCTTGTCTTCAGTTGACGTACGATCTTTATGTGGGAAGAGATTGAGAGAAGAATGTGAATCTTGAAGCGTAACTTCTATGTGCACATTATAAAGTATTGCCGACTTCTTATGTGGCTGTCCCTTCTAGGTTATCTGTAGAAATCTATTATAGCGACTTTGGACCCATCGAAGAGTGAGTGCTATGGCAGGTTGAACCTTTCATCAACTGCTGCCTCAAATGGTGGGGAAAACGCCCCTTTTTATAGGGACGGTTGGGTTACTGACTCATTGTCATAGGACAGTGTGTTAAGTTTTTATCAGCCTAGAAAGGAAGTTCATTTCCTCCCTCATTCAGAACTGACTAACAGATCCTTTTGTGAAATTTATTAAAGAAATAAAATAATTTGTTTATAATATTTTATAATAATACAGTAGAACCTCGATTATCCGGACTAATTGGGGATGAAGGTAGTCCGGATAAGGAAAAATCCGGATAATCGAAACAAATACTTTAATTTGTCTTTTAATGATAATACAACACGTTTTCTTTTCGATGACATATCGGTAATATTAAAAGTAAATACTGTATTTAAATCGTGATCAAATTTTCAAGAAACAAACGTTCGTATTGAATTTGGACTACTACTGACCAACGCTAACAGACTACCTATTGTTTAAAAGGCCCTCTGGTGGCGCAAGAAGACGGATTTTATAAAATAAAAAGCAGTTGAAACTGCATTTTTATGAATAAAAATTTGACAAACTATTTATCGTTTTATGACGAGTAAAATTTTTTCGTCGCGTTCGCGGCTTTTAAGTAATGCATAAACCTTCGAGGCGCGAGGCCCTTCGGACCGCGAGGCATAGGCGGTGGCCCACGTCGTCCATGCCTTACGCCGCCCTTGGTCATAGAAATGATGTAATTTGAATATAAATTATTTATAAATACGTATGTCAAGTTATATTTTTATTACTACGTAAAATATATTTAAGAGTTTACGACCACTGTGCTGGGTGAGATGTTGAAACAAAAAAGTTATGCATTCCGTCACGTACATAAACAGTGTCGTAATTCGCCAAGTGCAAATCAGCAAATTCGTAAAATTTTTGTTTATTTTGAACAATCCAGATAATCGAAAATCCGGATAATAGAGGTCTGGATAATGGAGGTTCTACTGTATATCTAATTATCCATGATCTCACAATGTGCTCAATGGTTTATTGGGGCCAGAATGTGTTCCAGAACTTTTTATTATGTACTGTACTGTACATACAAAAATACAAATTATCTAGAAAAATCTGTCAATTTTTTTATATGTTGTCAAGTTTGTGTGGGTTCAAATCTTTAAGAAGTTCAAATATTGATTTTCAAACATATTACATAATAAGATAACTACTTCCAACAATTTAACACCTCGTTGAATAATAACGATCCACGAAAAAACCTTTTTTACGAGGGTTATTACATAATAAATTTTGCATTATATAGATGTGAAGTTACAGTAACTTGTTGCATATTGGTAAATACTTATGCTATTACAGTAGAGCGTAGATTATCCGAATCAATTGGGGACGGGTTGTTCGGAAAATCGATATTTCAGATAACCGATTATGTATGAAAAAAATATATTAACCTGTCCCATGTTGAAATTTTTCTCCATTGCGTGTCGCTTCGCGTTGAATTTTCGTCGATGTTAAGCCTAACGAAGACTATCGTTAAAAATTATTTTTTTATTTTGTACAAACAAAATAAATATATTGAAAAATATAAAAACAATAAAAAAATTATACTTCAGAAGTTAATTTAGTATCAAAAACGTAAAATATTTGAATAGCCCAAGACATAGCCAAAGGTTACAGTGCCACAGCACTGGCGAAAATTTAAATTTGCCGACTGGAATTCTTTCAGATAATTGACGCTCTACTGTATATTCATCATTTACATGGAAAATTTCATTTCCTTTTTGACTGTCCTGAGGTTGTTATGAGGATTTATTTGAATCATCATGAATTGGCTATAATGGGGAAAGTCAAATGATAAGGAATGACTAGTTCCAGATATGTCAGGCCCTTTGAAAAATTCCAGAGGTTCCTGACTGGGACTCAAACCCGGGGTCTACAAAGTGACAGGCTGATGCCTTTACTACCTCAGTTATCCAGCTATGTAAATAGGAATGCCGAAATATATCTTAGTACAAGATACTCATTCAGAAATTGTACTGGTTGCATATTTTTGCATAATTTAATAACACATTCTAAAGGTACAACATAGAAAGTCAGATCAATTAAGTTTATAAGAAAACGACCAACTGAAACCTCTCAATCAGACAAAGACTTCAGGCCTATCAGCCTGTTACCTATTTTGGGAAAAATTCTGGATAGACTAGTGATTAACAGAATCTTAACTTTTCTCAGGAGAAAAAAGGCCCTTGGCCAGGACCAACATGGCTTCACTCCAGGCAAATCTACAATAACAGGAATTAACAGTATTATGAATTACATAAATAGAGCTAAAAGAAATGTCAGGCACACCCTTCTTGTACAATTGATTTTAAAGGGGCGTTCGACAATTTGTGGTGACCCGCCATATTACAGCAACTCCAAATTCATAATTGTCCTAGCAACTTATTTTATTTAATTAAAAGTTTCATGACCGATAGGAAAATGGGCTTCTATAATAACAATATCAGTTATACACGTCAAGCCACATTGGGTTGCCCTCAGGGCTCAATCTCTGGCCCTGGGTTATGGACCATTGTCCACAATGACCTACTCACCACCCTCAATAATTCTGAAGGAAATCATCTACTACAGGGCTATGCCGATGACATGGTTGTATTAGTATCAGATAAGAATAGTGACAATTTTCATAAATTAACATTTAACACAGTTTCATATCAATTAAAATTAACACTGTTTCATATCATGACAATCTTCCTACACTCTGTAATAAATTGCTGACAAAGATCTCAAATTGGAGTAAGAAAGTTAAACTGCCCATAAATCACTCAAAATGTTCATATATAATATTTTCTAAAAAGACCCCATTACAACGCAGCCCCTGCATTAAAACTGATGGTGTCCGGATATCTAGAGTCTCTGAAATCATATATTAGGGAGTTAAACTACAACAACAACTGCAGTGGACAGGTCATATAGAAATGGTTGTAGCAAAAGCAGTTAAGGTATCAAATGCACTTATCAGTATTGCTAAAAACACTTGGGGAATTGGCAGTAGAGCAGCCAAAATGATTTATCTTGGGGTAATTGAGCCCATTATTCTTTTTGCTGCTCCTATCTGGGCAAAGGCCTGTTCAAGAATTAACATTCAAAGGAAATTATTTAAGGCTCAAAGGGTGGCAACCCTTAGAATTTGCAGGGCCTATCATACCACACCCACCTCTGCTTTACTTGTCCTAGCAGGATTGATACCCACTCACATCAAGGCCAGGATGGTAGCTAGTAACTGGAAATTTAGTAACCTTTTTGATAATGAAAATCCTCTGAGTGACAACAACAAAAATATTATCGCAGATTTTCCCGACCAGATCAAAGAAGAATATTTTCAAATCAAAATTAAAATATATTTAAATAAATGATTAAAATTTAATTAATTTACAAGCTATTAATTTACAAGAATTTATCACTGATTGATAAATTTTACAGGAAAACATCAATGTTACTCAGTTTTTAGAAAAAATTATTCTTGGGAATGGTGATTATTAAAAATGTATTAATTATTTTTAAAAATCAGAATTATAAAACATCCATATGAAGACACATTTTTAGTTTGTTGTTTAATCTAAAAATTTTCCATATAGGTGAAAATTACTGCAATTTTATCATTGTAGTTTATTATTAATGATAAGGATTTTTTTAAAATTAATTTTTACATTAACAGAAACTTATTTTTTTTATTTTGATTTGTTTTTAAAAACTGTATTAATGCTTTTTTGCTGTACACACCATACTTAAGAATGATTAGAAAATGGTACCCTATTAATTACTGTTAAATGGTACCCTGAAAATCTAAAGCCCTATATTTAGGGCTTTAGATTTTCTCTGCCAGCAACAGTCTCTGTAGGTTATCCCTAAGAGAAAAAAATCAAAAGGAACTATGAATCCACGAGCAATCTTTGTCAGATATTCTGCTCCAGAATTTTTCTTAATTTTTTCTAGTTAAACTAGACATAAAAATTTAAATTATAATTAGGTTTCTTAGGCAGAAGAACTTTATAAGCTGTATATTATATACTGCATGTATCTAATATGATCTTAATGATTTTATTTTGTTGAAATTTGTCATATAGTATCATCTGTATGCTTTAAGCACAGCAAAGTCCTCACTTCACATCATTTCATTATAATGTTGATTGAGGAAAGATAAAAGCATATTTGTAATCATTTGCAATTATCATAAAATCAATTTTATTGCTTATAAAGATTCAACTATGAGATGAAAAAAATATGCTGGAGGTTGCAAACACAATCCAATTAGAATAATAATAACCAAATCATATATCACCTCTATCATTTAGCCTTTTCTAATATTGGTTTCAGTAAATGTTGTTTTGCTGAACCTCACAGTTTCCAAGAATATCGACGACTTTGATCAAGTGGGGACTTATATTGCCAACATGAGGTTATTCACTCATGTATACAGTAACTCCTGATTATATCTTTAAATACTGTTCTAAGAATTTTGATATCAAAATCCTCATTGTTTTTTTTTCAAGTCTTTCAGCACTGTACAAGACAAGTTTGCAAGTTTCTCACAAAAGCTTACTCCTAACTCAAGATTGTTAGTTTTTGTTGTGTTTTATTGGCCTACAATCCCTGAAGGATGCCAATGACCTCTAATAGTGATCAAATATTACCAAAATGATGAGAACCAGTTTATATAAATAAAAAAACTATAAAAATCAAACCATCATTTATAACACTTGTTGGCTTTGAACTGGCAGTAAGGAGATTTTTCACTTCTTCAATATTTTTCTCAAAATTTTTCTTCATTTTAAACATGGTATCTCTATATATAAAAGAAAAATACATATATTATATATATATACACGTGTATATACCGTTTCCCACGCATAAAGCTGTATACAATATTTAATTAACACAAACCGGATATTTTTCAATTCCTTTCTACAAATTTCAAGTTGTTTACTTAACTCCACATTCATAGTTATTATTAAATTATTCCTTAATGCTGAAAATCGTAAAATCAATTAACGCAAGGATCAGTATCGTCATCAGCTGATATTCAAGTAAAATTGTAAACATCCGGCAATCGAAGGCATGGCATTCAATCGATCGTGTTGCCAGATGTCCAAACAAAAATTCGTCAGTTACAAGTAGCAAATTGTTCACGATTTTTCACTGTTTTATGTAAATTAATAGCTGTATAAAATTAAAACTTAAATTTATGAGTTTGTTTGTTTAATTTAGTTACATTTTTATTTTTGGCTCTTTCCATCCTAGCACTAAAGAGGACATTTTTAATTCCCGGGGTTTTCCCTATGAGTCCGGATTCGATTCGGAATCCCCGGAGCGATGATTTACCATCTTAAAATTAAACGCCTCGGCCATTTGATGTATAAAGATTGTTACTCGTTATTATTTTCGATAATCCGACATCTTTAGTCTTATTTGATCTTGAAATATAAACAGTGTGTTAAAGATAATCTTTATTCGTTTTTTGTTGCCGATGTCATTTATATTTGTTTGTGAAAAATTTTAAGGTTAATGTTCAGAGTCGTAGACTGTCATGGCGGCTCTTCCTGTTTTAGCCTCGAAACCGGACCACTTTGGAGACGACGTGTCACGTGACGACGCGAGCGAACGGCGGAGGCGGCTTCTGCGCCGCGATAAACGGGGAAAACCGACGCGCGGGTTAACGTCCATATACGTAGACTCATGGCGGCTCATCTCTGATTTCGCAAAAAGAAAAGGATACAGTGGGGACGCACGTTCTAACCTAACCTAACCTATTCTGATAAATTATCATAATTATTACCAATTATATTATTAGAATAGGTTAGGTTAGAACATGCGTCCCCACTGTTTCCTTTCGTTTGCTGGAATCAGCGGTGAGCCGCCAGCGCTGCTGCGGTGCAGCAGCCACCGCCGTTCGCTCGCATCGTCACGTGACACGTCGTCTCCAAAGCGGTCCGGTTTCGAGGCTAAAACAGGAAGAGCCGCCATGACAGTCTACGATCCTGAACATTAACCAATTTGAATTAATTTTATTATTATTTTTCATTTTAAAAGATATTTTGGTACTACCGATTTTTTATTTTATTAATAATATAATGAAAAGAAAACTTTTAACCACTTCACAAAATTGGAGTTGTCTTGAGCTGTAACGATTGATCGAGAAACAAGATGGCCGCCTCCACGTGCTATTGCGTATGATTTTCTAACTCGTGTTTGTATGTTATAAACTTTCGGTAAATAATGGATAAAATGAGAATTAATGACCAGGTATTTATTATAAAACTTATCGGAAAATTATTATATACTTTTATCGGTAAAAATGCAGATATGAATGAGACAGGTACTGTACATTGCAGCACTGAGATCATGCACGCAGATATAAAATAATCGAGGAACTAAAGGTCTATATGTCACTGTTTGTGAGATAAAGCCCTCTGAAATTTGCCTATTTGGCAATATTATGACCTTTAAAAATGGGTAAAGTTGGTTAGACTGAAGAAAAAGATTTCCAGCTGAAAAAAATAAAAAAGGACTTAGTCTTATTATTTACAAATTGTCAAGCAATGTAAGCTGTAGCTTAGGGCCTCGAGTTTCAAGGAGCCTTAAAAAGTTATACAAAATATAAAATTGAAGTCAAATTTTGTAATAAATGGTTATTTTTAATAACAGAGCATAAAATCTTTAAGACTGCTTTTCATTAATAAAGAAACATTGTACTTGTACATTAGTGTTACCACCCGTCCAGTTTTCACCCAGACAGTCCGGGAATTGACTCATTGTCCGGGTGAACTATTAATTTCGTCCAGGAATTTCATAGAAATTGTGAAATTACGATGTGTAAAGTACTATTTTTAACTTATCGCTCTACAACGATTTTCGTTTCGGAAAGAGCCAGTACCTAACGGGTACTTTACGCGGGTTTGCGTTTGTTACTTTGCCAGGCCTGGACTTTTCGCATGCACCGAAGCAAATTAAAGACAAGTTAGTCAAAAATCAATAAAATTATTTAATAAAGATTCTAGAAACACTATTTACAATATATACAACAATCAACAAATTATTCAATCAAAAAAATCCAAAAGTCAACCCGACAAAATTCAATCTTATTCTTACTTAGAACTATTCCCCTTGGAATTCTGACAAAATCAATCCTTAACTTAGGTACAGAATTTCTTATAACTACAAATCCTAACCGTCACCTCAATTATACTAGGAACCTTTTTCTCAACTCAAGACTTTTCCTATTCCTCGATCCACAAATCGAAATACTGCAATTGCCTTGGACTATTTCCTATTGGACACCTCGTTCACTGCTACTAGCACACCAACGCTTATTCTTTTCAGGAGCTCACCTCTGATGTCTTCACTTGAGCTACACTATTTATAGTCTGAGGTGATGTCACAGTTTCTAAGTGAGACACTCCCCTCATTTACATACTTATATGTAACATTCACTTTTCTCTTGTTTATCTGGTAGCTTAATTCCCGACAATACTTTGTTAACCTTTTACAGTCTTTTCGTGAACAATTATCTGGATGTTTCCTTTAAGGTTTAACAAGTCTCCTAAAAGTTTGTGGGGTCTGTCCCCCCCTTTCAGTGCGGACTTACTATCTGCCACTCGGGCGTGTACGTGAGTGCGAGTGTGAGCTATGGCGCTTTCGTCAGTGAGTTGGTTTTATCTTCTTTTTTTAACTTTCTAAGGTGACGGGTGAGGAAATCTTCGTCCTAACTAAACATAAGCCCCAAACAAAATATAATAAAAGCAAATAAAAATAACGCTTGGACTTGGTTCCTTACAGATGAAACAAAGTTCTTTCAAATATTTTTACAAATTTACACTATTTTAACTGCGAAAGAACCTGCACTCAAATCTGCAATTCTGCCATGTTAGTCTGTTTATGCCGACATGTGGTGTGCAACCTGTCGATTTGTTTTTTTTTTTTTTTTCCCATGTGCAATTGTACATGTCTCCAACAATATCCAATAGAGCTAAGTCATCTGTACCTGTTCTTTCTTAATTTAGGGTTACTTACGTTACTCCTATGTAAGTCCCTAGTCCCTAACTATGATTTAGAACCGGCATGCACGTTATTCTTTGCATTGTAAAATGACATTGCGCATTCATCAGGAACTTCTGTTTGAACAAACCTAACCTGCCATCTGGGTCAGCAATTTTGAAAAGGTGGCAACACTTGTACATATTGCATTTATTCAAAAAAAGCAGAAGGGCCAGCTCTTTCCCTGGTCCCATATAAACTGTTGACAGTCCTGCACATACCTTGTTTTTTCAGAGAATGTTACTCAATTACTTTACAATTACTTTAGTTACCTAAACTTTTCTAATTGAAGTCATGTGGTAGGCATTATTATATTTATTTTTATTTGTTTAATGAAACTGATTGCTTTAGTATGAATAGGATGCTGCAGCACCATAAGAACTCCCCTGGATATGCCCTGAACTTGACATATTTTGTGTACGTTTATTGTAAAACTCCAAAACTTGTTTCATAAAATGTTTAATTTCCCAGTTGTTATAGAATATTATATAAGGAAAGTATGTTAAGAAAAGTGATTGGTCAAATTTTGACCCCTGGTTTTATTGCATTTCTTGATGTTTTGACATTCCAGGTGCTCAAAAATTTTAAAAAATACACACAATTTTGTAAGGGTTTATCTATGTATGGGGCATTGATGCTATTAAATTTTAGTAGTTAAAGATCAAGGGGATGGTGAGATAGATGGAGGTCATGTCATATCTTGAGTAGAGTCAGACTTGATGAAAATTTTACTCATTATTAGCATTTACAATTTGTTTAAAATCTGAATCTTACCCCCAAAATAAGCCTTTTGCCATTTTATTTTTAATAAATGATACAGAGCTTTTATAAAACAAAGAAATGTTTATGAATATAAAGATTTCAAGAAAAAATTGAAGTGTGTTTTAATGCTTGTAATTAAATTGTTTGAATGCTATTTTTATATCATCAATTCAACATTATAATATTTTACATTTGCTCTGTTAACAAAAATTGTTACATAAGATTGGCTAAAACACTAAAACATTCCTTTTGTAAAAAAATAGTTTTCAGTTCACATTACACTAATATTACTGAAGTTATACTGATATTTTCTGTTTTCTACAGTCTCACAGCAATAAGTGGATTCACTTTTCAGATTAATTGTACAAACTGTTAAATTATGTTAGAAATATAAATTCAGTAATCAGTAGATAAGACTGTTTTTCATCATTGACTATTTCCAAAGTACAAACATGTCCAAAATTTAAGGATGGACAACATTTATACATAAATAGAGAGAACTGTATACTCCATCTGAAATGCAGACAAATACAGCAAGAACTGTATTACTCGACATTTAACACAGGGTAATACACAATAGCTTGTAGAATTTTACAAATCAAAGCAATAAAAGTAAGACTTGGTGAAAAAAATACATACGGCAGTTGGCCAAACGTGGAGAATGGATGGAAAGTGTTTACCAACATCCAGGCAGAGAGACCTGTCAGTATAAAATATGTCCATCTTGAGCTGCAATGCAACATTACAACATGGCAGACTCTTCATCAAGTGATTCAGGTGTTTTTAGGGCTGATTGGTGCACTTTTCCCTCAGAATAATTGTTTTCATTTTTAAGTTTGGACACATATAAATATTTAAAATATTGCCGCAATTTTATGGTGTTACTAATGTACTCTAATGATTTATAATAATGAGAGTATTATTATTTTCTGTAGCAGAAACTATTTAAAATGATTTCCAACAATTTTAATTGAAGCTAATTTATGAGCAATGTGTTTTTTTGTTTTTTTTTTAAATTTTGTTATAGAAAAATGGAAGTTTATAAAAGTAATATTTTATGGTTTTAGTCTAATTTAGTATAGTAGCTACACTTCATTAATTTCAAGTAATTGTTAGGAAATTTTTGATTTTATTACTTATATTACATTAACTTTCATTTCTTACAAGTTTGAAAATTTGAATAACTATTANGATAATCGAAAATCCGGATAATAGAGGTCTGGATAATGGAGGTTCTACTGTATATCTAATTATCCATGATCTCACAATGTGC